TTCTGATTGGTGTGGAGACAGAGTTGACAGAAGAAGTACCTCTGGGTACTTGTTCAAATTTCTGGGAGGTCCCATTTCTTGGTGTTCCAAGAAGCAACCTGTTGTGGCGTTATCAACCTGTGAAGCTGAATACATTGCAGGTGCTGTTACTGCATGCAAAGTTGTGTGGATTCTAAATCTGTTGCAGGATCTGAAGATTAAAATAAACAAACCTCTGAAGCTGATGATTGACAACAAGTCTGCAATCAATCTTGCCAGAAACCCAGTGTTACATGGGAGAAGCAAGCATATTGAGACCAAGTATTATTTTCTGAGACATCAAGTTCAGAGTGGAGTGTTAGAAGTTGTACACTATAGCACTCAGAAATAGTTGGCAGATGCTCTGACGAAAGCTATCAAGACTGATCAATTTCTCAGACTAAAGGATGGAATTGGTGTTACAAGTTTTGATGGAATATGAATTAAGGGATGGTATTTGAAGTAATTCATATTTAGTTGTACTATTACATAGCCCCTAAGTTTGTTAGAGGGTATTTTAGTATTTTATCTTATTCTAGTAACCCTAGTTTTAGCTTATAAATAGGGTTGCAATCATTGTAATGTTTTAAGTGAGTTGTGTAGTCGTCATCCTCTTTAATAGAATATTTCCTCTGTTCATCATTTATTCACCTTTGCACCAACAAAATTCAACTCTCAAAATTTACCAGTTCTCATTCCTCTATAAGCTTCAATATTATATGTATTTGGATTAGGATTTTGAAACATTAGGAATGTCACTTAATTTACTTTATGATTTTTAGACAAGCAAAGAAAATAGTGAAATTTTTTTCCAACGGTGCTGTCATAGCAAAAGAAAAAAAAAAGAACGTAGCAGCATATCAGCTCACACTATCATTACTAAAATCCGCATGTAAACAAACTGGACCAAAACTCATACACCCCAACTAATAAATCGTAACAGCAACAGTACAAAAGAGTTATGTGAAAATCAAATGCGCAAACTATACAATGAAATGAAACTGAATATTTGAAGCACAAAGTTACCATAATGTCGAATGTGTTATCATGAACTACTTACAGCAGCGGTGTTTCTTTTCCAAACTCACACATACAATCATGTGTAACATAACCAAATCGAAAACGTAAAGATGAATCAACGTGTCAGCATAACTTTAATGCAAACATTTACCGCAAGGTAGTGCTAACAGTCTATACACAAACTTCAGATATGAAACAAACAGCAACCAAATGCTAATCCACAAGAACCCCCGAGTTCATAACTCGCGTAAATGAATCAGACACACATATATGCAGACAAATAGGTGATGAACAATCAAGCAACATTTAGAATTTTCAAGATCATAATAGTAGTAGTAATGATACATTAATATACAGGATAATTGATTCCGAAATTACCGCAAAGACGAAGCGTCGTTGAATGGTTAGAGTTGTTGTTAAGTAGTATTTGTTATCTTTGTCATCATGTTAAAGGTTAGAGTTGCTGCTGAGTATTATTTGTTATCTTTGCCGTCATGTTAAAGCGTTACTGAAGTGATGCAAAACTGAGTCCGGGATGTAGCATAGTCAACGCGAATCGATACAACATCATCGAACAACGTTTTATTTCTAGCACGTAATCCCCTCTGATATTCTCCTCTTGAAACCCGCATATGAAGAGGATAGCAGCATAACCTTTTACGAAATTGACATCAACAGAACACAATCAAACATGAGTTGTTGTTGTCGCGGTTGGTCTCGAAATGAAACAATGGTGCCGTTGATTTCGTGTTGCAGAGTCGAAGGTGTCACTGATTCCACATCATCGCGTCGGATCTTAGATAGGGTTTTTGGTGGTGGTGACGGAAAAACGAAAGGGAGATGAATATGGATGTTTAGTGGTGAGCGGAACATTGATAATGGTGGCGGAGCGGAAGAGTTTTAAAGTTTGTGGTGGCGTTGAGGTGTTTCTCGGAGAAAAAAAGTATTAGGAGAAGATGAAGTGATGATTTTGAAGATGAAAAGGGAAACGAAAACGCACGTGAAGGGGAAGGGTAGCGGAAGAAGATTGATGATGGTGGGTCGTTTTTGCGGTTGAAGGATTACGGCGGCGGAAAGGTTTATGTTGAAGGAGAAGGGTTCGGTGGTCGGATTTCTAAGGTGAAGGGGAAGAAGGAAACGACAGCTTAGGTTTGCAATTTGGAAACGATGAGGAATTTAGGGTTTCTTCATCTGGGATTGTCAACAGTGATTCCCACCCTTTATATACTCATCCTAACCCTAATTTTCAACCGTGTCCTCCTCTTTTTACATTTTTTTTTTAATTTTTCTTTTAATTTTTCTGTTTAATTAATTAATAATTAATTCTAACTCTATTAAATAATTCTAATTCTTTAGTCTAATTAAAATTCTAACTTCTAGCTATTAATTCTATTCTAATTAACTAATTCAAATTCTATTTTAATTCTAATTTAAATTCTAGTTAAAAAATCTAATCTAATTTCTAATTAATTAATATTATAACCTTACTATTATATTATATTAACAAATTATAAAAAATAAAATTATAAAACAAAAATAATGATAAATACAAAAAATGCCATGTTTCGCAAATTCATTGGGCTAGAAAGTGAAAAATGTTTATTTTTGCTGGAAAAAAAATACGTTACGCTGTACAAGCGAGGTAAATAAAAAATTAAGTCGGACAAATGAAAATTTTGAAAAGGTAGGACAAATTTGGGGTATGACACACATAAACACTATCAATGTCTCATTTCAATATTTTCAACAACAAACAAACTCATAAATTAATTCCAACAATTTATATAATTAGTTTCACATCTTCAACACTAATTCACCAACAATGTCATTCAATTTTCAACTGAATTCAAATAACAACAACATCACAATCTATTATATGACTTGTGAACTCAAAAAAGAAAAAGAAGAAATACGTTGCTCAAAATGAAGGAGTTACGAAATGAAACAGTAGGATTTACGGCAAAGAGAGTTGCGAAGAGAGGGAGATACGGTCAGCGGAGGGAGTTACGACGGAGGGGGTGGAAACCGAAGAGAGGGAGTAGCCTTGTATGAGGGAGATACGACGGAGGGAGTAGAAACAAGAGAGAGAGAGAGAGAGAGAGAGAGAGAGAGAGAGAGAGAGAGAGAGTATCAAAGTTTTTTTTCCAGAAAGTTAGGGTTCTAGAGTATTAACGTGTTTCTGTTTTTATTTTTTTCGAAATTAACAACCTAAGGCAGCGCTTTTAGAAAGCGTTTTCTTATGTATTCAATTTAACAACGTTTTTTCATTAAAAGCGCTTTCTTTTCATAGGCTTATATCAGCGCTTTTCAGAAGCGCTTTCTATGGTTGAGTTTAGGAATGACCTTTAGAAGCGCTTTTCAAAAGCGCTTTCTAAAGGGAGCCTTTAGCAACGCTTTCCAAAAGCGCTTTCTAAAGTGTAGCCTACGTAAGGCCTTTAGCAGCGCTTTTCAAAAGCGCTTTCTAAAAATAGCCTTTAGCAGCACTTTTTTCATAGTTTTTTTAAAATTTATAACAGCGCTTTGGGGTAAAAGCACTGTCTATTTAGTGCTGCCAAAAATTAATTTTGGCATAGTGATAAATATAAGATTATAAGTGGCACGTCCATTTTGTAACAAAAAACGAAAAAAATTCTCGTGTTAGGATTCTAAGTTTGTCATTTCAATATGGTTATTATGTTTGACTGTGGTGAAATATCTTCTAATAAATAAAAAAATGTCTAAAAATAAGTTATTAATACAATGAACTAAATGACTATAGTAAAACGATATTATGAAATGTATATTTTGTAGTTGTAAGAAACTAAGATACTTATAAAGTTGAAGCCTTTTGCTAAAAACCCATTTTCTGGAGGCTTCTCACCATGAGTCAATTAACTAAACGCAGAGTCATTGAAGGTAAGCACAGCTTGACATGTTTAATGAGGATGAAACATAATATCATTTGTTTATAAATTACATGGTGAGCAGAAAAGTGTGGAGTTCGGTTTGTGCTTGGATTGGGGTTTTATAAGTAGTGAAATCTAACAACATAATAGCTCATTTGTCTCAATTTTGTTGGCGGATCAAATTCAAATTTGCAGGGAAATTTTATTGTTTTTTTATTTGTTATATGTTAGTTACCGTGGCTTTGCAGGAACTCAACTCTATTTCAAGCTGCAATTTGTAAAGAGTTAGACATAGTTGGAAGAATTAAAAGAATGTTTTGGGACTCTTTTCAAGTTTTTTTCAAGAGTTTTATACTTCCTTCATTCTTTTTTATAAGTAAATTTTGACTTTTTAAATTCATTTAATAAATAATATATTTAGGTTATATATAAGTTTAATGTATTAACTACTCAATAAATTTAAAATGTTAAAAAAATTTTATAAATAAGAATTGAAGGAGTAGGTCATCGCTCGCCGGTTTCAATATACCGCAAGACCAGCCGGATGATGTCTGCTGGTTGGTAGTGAGAGGAACTATGCTTGTAACAACTAATATTTTGTATAAAGATTAAGCTAACCTTCATTAGTGCATTTGTGGTGAATTTTAACCTTCTTATGTAGGGAAAAATAAATTCACCATAAAGTCTATAAATTGAGTGTCAACCTAGTACTAAGAATATGTCAGAATTCAAATGTGCTCTGAGGAATTCAAATGTGTAAAAAATTATTCCCATGCAATTAAAATTGACTGTTATGAAACATTTTCTAAGTTTAGATTTTTAGGGTCCACATATTTAATGTTATTTCTTATGCAAGCTTAAAATAGAGAGAGTAGACAAGAAAGTAGAAAATTATGACATTCTCACAAAGGTCATTTTTATTCAACTGTAATATTCTCCAGCAACCTATCACACAATTTCTTTCACTCATCCTCTTTTCTATCTTTTATTACATTCCAATTTATATACTGTTGCAACAGTCATTATTATTATTGTTCTATCATTCACGTTTTCAACTCCTTGACATCGTACTATAATATGAATCACAACGATCTTCAACCTCTCCCACTGCTAAGTAGCTTCTTAGATTCCACTCCTCAACAATCTTTTCAACAAAATGGGACTCTTAAATCTTGTTTGAATCAAGCTGAAGATGTCACAGTGGCCTTACATATTGGTCTCCCCCACAGTTCAACCGAAACACCAACTGAGAATGTTCCAAATTCTGCTCCAAGCAATTACTGGATACCAACTGAAGAGCAGATTCACATTGGTTTCAGCCAGTTCTCTTGTTCCGTTTGTCACAAAACATTCAACCGCTACAACAACCTTCAGGTGTAGTAGTTTTCTTATTATTAAGATTCTGAAATATTCATAAACTTTGAACCCTAATTATACTTTCAAACTTGTTTCAGATGCATATGTGGGGACACGGTTCACAGTATCAAAGAGGACCAGACTCGTTGAAAAGAAAGCATCCACGACTGTTGTTGGACATTCCATGCTACTGCTGTTCAGAAGGATGTAAGAATAACATTGAGAATCCAAGAGCGAAGCCGTTGAAAGATTTCAGAACATTGCAGACACACTACAAGAGGAAGCACGGTTCGAAAAGCTTTACTTGTAGAAAATGTGGAAAGTGTTTGGCTGTGAAGGGTGATTGGAGAACTCATGAGAAAAATTGTGGTAAGCGTTGGCTTTGTATCTGTGGTTCAGATTTCAAACACAAGAGGTCGCTGAAAGATCATGCCAAAACTTTTGGATTTGGTCATGGCCCTTCTTCTTCCTCTGATGGCATTTGATTAGGGTTTAATTATTACAATGATTTTTTTTGTGTGTGTTTTTTTCAGTACCGTTGAAGAAAAATAATCATGTTTTTTTTTTTTGACGCAATTTCTAAGTTGGTTTATTGGCTGTAATAATATTCGCATTATGTTAGATCAAAGTTGTGAATGAGTGTGAAAGAAAATACTAAATAAAGTTAGAACTGACAAATATTTCATCCAGTTTAACCATGTGTAGAATTTAATCCTCGTAAAGAAACCAGATTTTGTAATAATCAAATGTCTAGCTTTAGAAGAATCAATAGATATATAGATTGTATAGTTACATCAAAAGGTATAAATGGTCACACTACAATTCTTTTGGTAATTAATTTCAAAACCTAAACCTAGGGAACATGTCTGAACATTAACTTGATATTTAGTTTATGAACAATTTTGTTATTTTATTCTTTTGATAATTTTTTCTACTCTGACAAATTAATCAACACATGCACATGACTGCTTTCAATAGTAAAACCATATACGAGTTTTCAGACAAACTAGAAATATACCTCACTTGAAGTGCTTATAAAAAAAAAAGTCAGTTGAAGTATTATATATGATTTTAATTTTAATAAATATTATATTGTTGTGATTGAATTTTAATTAATGATTTTGTTTACTATATTTTTTAATTAAATTTTTTAAAATTTGTATAATAATTATCTTATCACTTATTTTTAAATTATTTATTATTTAAATAAAAAAGTAATTTAGTGATTGTACAAATATATTAAAGAATTTATGTATTATTTATAGTATCGTGGTTTTTATAATTGTTAGTAATAAGTATTTGTCTTGACTTTTTTTAATATCTATTATATTATTGTTTGCAAGAGTTTTAGCCTTTAATCAGTGAGATTAATTCGAAAAATTTCAGAAGTAATTTGTATAAAACACGTGTATAAGAAAGTGTATACGTGCAAAGTGATTGTGAATAGTATCCAGACAAAGTGAAGGCAAACTTTAATAACGTAAAAACATGATTTAAAATAAATAAAATAGACAATAAATAGCATTAAACAAAAGTAGTAAAAGACAAGAATAAAAAAGTGTTTCAATTAAGGAAACATAAAAACAATGAAAGAAAGAGACGCAAACTCATACATGTTACTCACAAAATGTTTCGCTTTTTGACTCGGATACTCCATTTCTATAAAGAAGTATATGAATTTTGCCACCTTGATTACAATGTATGAACCTGCTATTTATATTAAATTAAAGAAAATTGTCTTCAATAGCTTATTCCTAAAAAATAGAAACGTATTTAAGAACATGCAACTTAGTCTTCAGAAGCACTGTCACATTGTCAGAACTTACAAAGTGCTAAAAAATATTATCCTACGTTCGTAACTGCTCTAAGCATATAATTATCTGCTTGTCGAAGGTAGTTTTTGTGTTAAACTAGTGTTACTATAATCTTTCAAGTCTCTGAAATCTTCTAAGTCTTCGATGTCTGTTGAAAGCTTTGACCTCGACATGATGTCGAGTGATTAGTTAGATTGGCTCTTAAGACTCTTCCAAACCATTTAAAGATATGTTCCTGAGACTCTTCCAAATCATGTCCAACATGCTAGTGGTGACGCTTCAGTCGACATGTTTGACCTGTCAAATCTAGTCATTAAATATTAGTACTTAACATTCTCTCCACATAGCATTCTTAGTTGACTTTTTCTCCAACTTAAAATTCCAGGCTAACATATTCTTTGTTGACTTTTTGTAAACCCTTAATACTGTTGAACTATCTTGTACACGTCACATCAACTAGACAATTTATCATTATTTATTTTTATTCATGGGTCATCATTATCACTTTCTTCCAAATAATCACGTCACAGACATGCGTGCGGCTCATCATCATCCCCTATTTCTTAGGAGATTAATGCACCAATAACTTAAATGAGAAAAAAGAAAAGTGCTTAATTTTTTATTTTCATCTTTCCCTGTAACCTGTTAGTGCTAACTGTTGATCTGCACGTGACACGTGTCCAAAATTATTTGAAGAAAAAAATTGACACATTTTCTTCCATTTTACTATTTAGATGTTTCATCCTAAGTTTTTTCTCTTTTACCATTTCCTTCTCTAAAATTAAACGAAAAAAACCTATAAAGCTTTCAGAGATTTCTGCAATATTTTCCATCACATTTCTTTTCAAAACTTGTGAATCAACAATGCCTCTCAAATTCAGACCTGCCCCACTTGCTCCCTTAGCCGCTACCATTGAAGAACATATATTAATCAATGATCGTACTTACGTCCCTGAACCTCCCATGAAAGATGGGAGAAGAAATGTCTAGGATGTGGATGCATTAATTCGCTACTCTGTTCTAGGTACTAGTTTCGCTTTCATGTGTCCCCTTCCTAGACGTATTAAGAAACCCCATGTGTTAAGTCCTTGCTACCCATCTTTTGAGCCCTTGGTATTCGTGGATGAACCCTTTGATTTTAGTTTCTTCAAAAATAGGGTATTCCATTCATTTCCTCTGACTAGGGATGACTCTTACATCCGATGGTTGAATATGGTTTAAGAAAAGAATAAGCATTTTTGGAACGATTTGGATATTTTTGACCCGATACAACTCTCAAAAGTTGGCCCCAAATACAACTACCACATGGTTATTGCACCCATGTGTTTGTGGGATACCTCCACCAACACATTTCACCTTCCCTGTCGGATGATAACCCCAACACTCTTTGATATTACTACTATTGTCGGTCTTTTACCAACTGAAGAGCCATTTAAGCCAAAAATAAAAACAAAATGTGGGTTTGTTATCACTAGTATAACCTATAGCGCATTCATCGAATATCATCATGCTTCGAATTATCGTGTGAGTGACCATGAACATATCGCCTTCCTGACTTACTAGTTTGCCTATTTTGTTTTCTATTCTTGATCCATTCAAGTGGCTAAATAATTTGTCCCCATGGCCACCCAACTTCATGACGGGAGAAAAATATGCCTCAACAAGCTTATTTTATGTGGCTTGTATGAATCTCTAAGGTTAGCATCTCAAGACCTCAGGTAAACAAACAAATCCTGAAAGCCTTCAGGTGGGTGGCCTCATATGGCACATGTAGTTGTTGCTCAACGCCATTTTCAAACCTTCCCTAAAAATTAGGGTTCCTCCTAACTCAAAGGTAGGAGTCGAAGGCCTAAGGCTCACCCAACTGACTTTGGATGATGATAAAGTTGTGTCTAAAGAAATTTTTGAGACTTACTTTGACATGTTTTCAAGATGTAAGACATTTCTCTCGACTATGACACCTTTTTCTAGTAGAGAATATAGACCTGCATAGTCCGGAAAACCATTTCCAAACCCCTCATGCAATGAAGAGAGGGAAATACATGATACTTTGTTGGCATGCTTCTATCCTACTGCTCTATGGACAAGGATTACCTCCTATAAATCATGGATACGAGCAGCTACTTACCAGCCAAAGTTGGTGGCTAGACAGTTCGGTTTGAGCCAACCGCTCCCTAAAAGCATGAATCCCTAAGGTAGAGACTTGTTTCTGTTCCACCAATGCACCAAGTGAGGAATGGCTTGAGAGTTGTCATAGTTTCTATAAGAAGAAAGAGATAATCCCCGGTCCTTTTGAAATCTTCTTTTCTTTCCATTGTACCCAAGTGTTCTAGGACTGGTGGGCCCTTTACTATGAAAGTGTGGCAAATCCTACCCTTATGGTCTAAGTCCTGGATGATTCTCTCTCCTTTCTACGAGACATGGAGAAGAAAAACAATGGTAATTTCTGACGACTTAGGATATATTTTTCTTTAACTTGTATTAATTTCATATTCAGTTATAATCTATTTTCATCGAATTTTCATAGGTCTCCCCCATAATCCAAAATCATCGACTGCTATCTCTCAGGGACAAGTACTGCAGAAACTTTACAGGTAGAATTTTTACCTTATTTTCCTTTACTTTTATGTCATTGTCCTAATCTTTAGGTTTTCTCCTTCGTGGTCAAAAGAAGGCAGAGAATTCTTCTGGCATGGGGCCCTCAAGACAAAGAAACAGAGGCAACAAGGATGTTGTAGCTTCGAATAGTGAAGAAACTCTGGTTTGTAATATTTGCTTTTTCACTTTTCTGCATTTATATGTCTATTTCATCTTATTGAGGTTCTGTTGAAACTTGCTAGTCTCCCTAGAAAGAGTCAGAGTTAAAAATCAGTGAAGTGAGCCTACAGTCTCCTCAATCTATCCTCCTAAACATTTTCCGTATGCAGCTATTAGAGTCGTATGCCAACTTTGTAGAACAAAGGGCGGGGAAAGCCTTTGCTGAATCTTCTGACTTTCGACAAAAGAAGAAAAAGAAGAGGGTTATACAAGAAACTGTTACGCTTTTTGATGACGAGGGGACTAAGGAAATCAAAATTCCTCTACTGAAAAAGAATAAGAGAGGTAACACATGACCACCATAGGAACCCCAGAAAACCACTGTGTTCTTCATGTTCTTGGATGAACATGAAGAACCCTAACCCTAAACACTTAGAAACTTAACCCTAAACACTAAGAACTCTAATAGCTTATGAACCCTAACCTAAACAAAAAAGAAACCTAACTTAATGCCAACCATAAAGAACCCACCCTAGACGACCATAATTACCACCAAGAGAAAATTAATAATCATAATCTCTGACCACCTTCATCCATCAAAACACAGAAACACACTTGGACTACCCAGATCAACACCAAACTTGTACAAAACGATAGATTGAAACAACATGAACCTAAATCAAATGTCAGAAGCATAAACATAAACAGAATTTTAGAACCAAAAATCAAACCCAAACCCTTACTGATTCGGCCAAAACCCAACTAAACATATTCAAACTTTAACCAAATTCAAGCACATGCAAACATACATCACACATACAACATAAAGAGTGAAAGGAGACACCTACCTGAGATGTCGTGACCAAGTTAAGCTTCCCACTCACTCTCTTCTTTCTTTCTTTCTCTTTTTTATGTTTGAAAAATTGATTATTTTGTAGTGTGATGGGAACTTGAAGAAATAGGCCCGAGCAAAGTAATTTGAAGCCATTTCCAACCATAATAGAAAAATTGGGTATCAGTGTGCTTAGAATTTTGAGATTTTAAGCTATACGAGGTTGGAGAATAGAGTGAGTGATGCATGTATCTATGAGAACTATTACTAATAGACCATTAAGAAATCCTTTGAATTTCAATGTTTTAGAGGAAAATTAGCCACTAACAGCTTATGGGGAAAGTTGAAAATATGTTTCTTCATATTCTTGACGTTTTGACTCAACATCCACAAAATTCATTATTTCATTAGTGTATTGAGTTTGCATAGTGCCATACCCTAAATTTTGACCAATAATTTGTAGTCATCTAATTCTTCCAATGACCTAAAAATTCAAAGGGAGACAATTTGACTTTTTACTTTAGTTACTGTTTTGGGCATGAACAATTGTGATTTGATGCTCGTTAGGGGTATTGTTTAGATGTTGGGGTCTCTAACACATATCAATATGGGCTTTTGGGAGCATTGGTACTTTTAGGCTCCTTTTAGAATTAATCAGGTATAAGGGATGTATTTCTAGAATTAATATAATTTAAATATTAATATTGATTATTTTTTAGGAATTGATCACTTTTAGAGAAGGTTCTAGATAAAGTGATTATTTAAACCATTTAGTTTTAATTTGTTGGGGTATTAAATTTATTAGGGAGACTGAGGTTTTGATCAGATCATTAAATTGAGTAAGTTTATTAGATTTATTATTAAGTGAAAGTTAAGTGTTGTTGGTTAGGATTAAATAAATAAAAATTGTAAACATTTTTTAAAGATTTATTTGTATTATTTAGGTTATTATAATTTAGTAGAGGTTTTAAAAAGGGCATATTAGAGAGTTTGGTTTAATTAATTAAAGTTTAGTCAAATGTAAAATATTATCAATTAGTAATTAATTATAAATAAGTAAGATTATCATAAGTATTTGGTTATTATTATTATTATTATTATTATTATTATTATTATTATTATTATTTTTTTTTTTTTTGAATCAAGAAATTTTGGCATTAATTCAAAAAACCATACAAACCAAGGCGATCAAATGATCCAGCCCACAAAACAATCAAACTACCTTAAGGCAAAATAAACCTAGCTATACGTGGTCTAAGCTTTGGACTAGTCCACCCTCTATACATTATATTGTAAATAATTCTATCAAGGCAATTCCTATTATCAGTTCTATGATTAAAACAGGCTTCGTTTCTATAAAGCCAGATCTCATGAAGAGTTTCTGTAAGGGCAAGCCTAACCAGATCAGATTGCCAGCCTTTCCCACCATAATTGCTCAGAGCCCATTGCATTTCCTCTTGCCATCTTTTTGGAGTGTGTTGAATGCCCAACCACTGAAGAATACCACTCCATATTTGCTTCAATTCCACACAACAAAAAAATAAGTGATCAATGGTTTCCTCTTCATTGCAAAAAGCACATTTGTTATTGTTGATCATGCCAAATCTGAACAGTCTTGACTTGGTTGCTAGCTTTCCATGACAGATCGTCCAGAGAGTAATAATTGCCCGGGGTCTAGCTCTATTGTGAAGGATTAATTTGGCCCATGGAACATTAGGAGTAATAGGTAGGAGGCTTTGATACAATTTCCTCCCATGGAATTTACCCATCTGCAGCATAGCATCCCATGTACTTTGTATGGTCATTAGCTTGTCCCTTTGTATTAGAATCGCTTTGAAAATTCCAGAGTCTGATCCCTTAACCATTCTAGTCAGAATATCTTCATGTCTCAAGTAGTAAGCATGTATCCAAAGCACCCACAAATCATCAGATTTTGCATAGATATTCCAGAGAAGTTTTATCACAAACATACTATTCCACACTTCCAAATTCATCATATTTAGTCCGCCTTGCACATGTGGTTTACAGACATTTTCCCACGCTACTGGACTTTTCCTGCTTATATTATTACCACCTGACCACAGAAAGGAGCGACATATAGCATTGATTTTGTTGATCACCATTTTTGGAAACCAAATGCATTGCATCCAGTAGGTTGTGATAGCATAGAGCACACTCTTGATGAGTTGCAGCCTACCTGCATAACTCAACAATCTAGAGCTCCAGTGAGTTATCCGGCTAAGTAATCTGTCCAACAGCGGCATGTAATGGATCACAGCAAGACACTTACTCGTCAACTGGATACCAAGGTACCTAAAAGGGAAAGACCCTTCTTTGTATGAAGTTAGATGGAGGATGCCACACTTGACACTCGCAGGTACATTACCAAAATACACCCTGCTCTTGGAAGGGTTTATTTTCAAACCTGTAGAATCCAGGAATTTGTTCAAAGTTGAATAAAGTATTTCCACAGACACATGATCACCTCTAGAGAACAACAAAAGGTCATCAGCAAAGGTTAAGTGAGTTATTTGCAGCCTTTCACATTTAGCATGGTGGTTAAACTATGGATTCCTTTGCATCTTGAGAAGTAACCTGTTGAGATATTCCATGATGATCACAAACAGGAGAGGAGATAATGGGTCCCCCTGCCTAATTCCTCTTCTAGCATTGATCCTATCAGTATACTGGCCATTGATATTAAAGCGATAAGAAACTGTAGTCACAGTGGTCATAATCCAATCTACAAATTTCTTAGGTAAACCAACTTCACTAAGAATATTTTCGAGAGCGCCCCAATCAACCATGTCATATGCTTTTTGTAGATGAACCTGTATTCCTGTTATAACCTTTTAACAGCTCCATAGCTAGTAAGATGTGAGAATGGATTTTCTGGCCTGGAACAAATGCCGCCTGCGCTTTACTGATGATGTTGCCTAAAACCTTCCTAAGTCTGGTTGTGAGAATCTTGGATATGATTTTGTAAATTGTGGTGCAACCAGCAATAGGCCTATAATCTTTCAAGGTTTTGGCGTCCGACTGTTTGGGAATAAGAGTAATGGTAGTTTCGTTGAAAGCTTTATAAATCATATTCTGCTCAAAGAATTATGTAACAGCTTCAATAACATCCTTATCAATAATGTCCCAGCTTGCTTTGAAAACTTTTCCACCGTAACCGTCAATACCTGGGCTCTTGAGGTCTCCTATCCCTTTTAATGCATTAGTGATTTCAGCAACAGATACTGGTGAAATTAGATCAGCTCTTTGTTCCATGGACAGTTGAGGCCCTTCCCTCATGACTTCAATATCTATCATATTAATTCTGGATTCCCTGGTGCCCATCAGTTTCCCATAAAACTCACATACCTCCCTTTCTATGTCCTCCTGTTTATGTATACAAGTATCATCCTCTCTATAAAGTTGGCTGATATGTGTGGTTGTAGTTCTGGATTTGAGGTAAGCATAGAAGAATGATGAATTCGTATCGCCTTCTCTAAGCCAATTAATCTTAGTCCTCTGTCTCAGCATTTGGTCCTGAAATTCTTGAAGCTGGATCAAATTATCAGTATAGGTTTTAACTTTCTCAATAGTCTCAGTGTTCATACGATCCATAATGAGACTTTCCTGGTTTTGTAATAATTCATTCCTTGCTTGGGCAATGGTCTGATGGAGGTTTGAAATTTGTTTACTCAATCTGCAAAGGGGAGCTTGTAATCTCAGCAGTTTAAACCACAGTCTAGCCATAGGTCTGCCTGTGATTTTCTTATTCCAGCTCTGTTTGACAGTGTCATGATATTCTGGTATTTGCACCACACTATTAGTAAACCTGAATTTCTTGTGCACTCCTCTGTTAATCTTCTCAGCATTCAAACTTAACAGGCAATGATCAGAGATACTAGGAGGGAGAATTTCCAGCTTCAAATCCATACTATCCTACAGCCAATCTATATTACCAAGAACATGGTCAATTTTTGAGTAAATTGTACCTATAGAATGTTTATTTGTCCATGTAAAATAGTCGCCCGTGCTATCCTTCTCATACAAGCTAGCATGATTCATCAAATTTCTGAGATCTTCAACCTCTCTGTCAGTCACCAGGTTACCACCAATTCTGTCCATAGATTTGGTAACATTGTTGAAATCGCCTATAAGGAACCATGGACCCTGTTGACTGTCATGGATATGTTTCAGTTCTTCCCACAGTTTCTTTCTTTGCTCTAGTTGATTCATTGTATAGATAGCTGTCATCCAAGTTTGAAACACTCCATTGACATCATGGATACCACAGTGTATCATCTGTGAAGTGCATTTTATCACTCTGACATCACATTTTCTCTCATCCCAGTTGATCCAAATTCTGCCATTGTAATGTTCATTGTAATTGTCATGGTATTGGCCTTTGAGGTTCAGCTGATCTCTGATTTTCCTTGCCTTGTCATGCTTTACTCTTGTCTCTAGTAAAATTGCAATCTTAGGGTGAAGGTTAAAGAGACGGGAGCTAATCTCCTTTAACTTCCCTACTTTATTCAGCCCCCTCACGTTCCAAGATGTAATCATTGGCCAGTATTTTGAGACTCTATAAGATCCTTCGAAATCTCAAGAGCCTCAAAGCCATTGGCACAAACAATCTTATTTATACTGTTGGGGTTGTCTTGTGGTTTACCTCTATCCTTACCACTTGTTATTACTTCTATCCACTTCTCCATAACTGCCTCAACCTGCTCAATAATGTTCACTCCATTTTCTAGAGGTGGATCAGCAACCTTACTCACCAGATCAGTGGGACACTCACCTAATGTATTTCCATTAGCATTGTTCTCCACAGCAGGGGAATTAACCTTGTCTCCTACAATGTTGTTGTTTCCTTCAGTCCTAGGAATCCTTTTAGTAGTGTTGTCCATCACAGTTTTCACATAGTCTACATGTTGTGGTGCAGGTTTAGGTTTCCATTGTTGTGTGCCTTTGGGTTTATCACAGCTATGACCAACCTTTTGACACTTGATGCAGAACAGGGGTCTCCATTCATACTCAATAGGTTGTTGGATTTTCTCTCCTTCATTATCCCTAATGGTAATTATTTGTGGCAGTTCCTTTGTAATGTCCATTTTCACAAGTATGCGCGCATATGATACTCTGAGTCTGTTTGCCGTACATTCGTCTGTCATGATGGGGTTTCTAAGGGCACTTCCTATCTTGTTTAAACTTGTATCACCCCACAGAATGATGGGTAGTTGAGGCAATTTCACCCAAATCGGTAATGTTCGCAGGATTTCATCTTTGACCTTGAAACCTGGCCTCCATTCTCGAATCAGCAGAGGGATGTTTCTTATCATGTATGGTTCTCTCAATAGCACTTCATCACGATCCTTGAATGACTTGAATCGAAGAATAAAATAACCTTCATCATTGTAATACATATCCGACAATTAAACAAAATTCCAGTTCCTGGTCATGAAATTCTTAACTGCATTCATGCTAAGGTCAACTCCCATTGTATAGAGGATCAAGGAGGATTCCCAAAATTTAACTTCAGAGATAATGTCTTCGTCTTCAATTACAACTTCCAATTTTTCATTCACAACTTGGGGTGCGATGAATTTCATCGCCCTACCCTTTGTCGGATTTCGATTATCCTTCAGTACATCTACCCATAGCTTGCGACCTTCCTCAGATGCTCCTTCATGGATAGGTTTTCCATTCTCAGGTTGCTTAGGTATCACAGCTTGTATTGCATTAATCGGTTGAGTGGCGGTTTCCATTTCTTCTTGATTGGGTTTTCTAGTACGTGCATCTAGGGTTTCAACTTCCAGAATCCCTTCTTCAGTTAAGCTAGTGTTGCTCTCCAGATGGTTTCTCAACTCTAATTGTTGTTGTGCAGGTGACATCGGTGGGGTTGTTGATGGCGGAGGCACCGTATTCTTCGGCGGCCGCCCTCGCCCTCTCCCTTTCCCTTTCCCTGTCATGTTTTTGAATATCTATTATTATTATTATTATTATTATTATTATTATTATTATTATTATTATTATTATTATTATTATTATTATTATTATCATTATTATTATCATTATTATCATTATTATTATTATTATTATTATTATTATTATCATTATTATTATCATTATCATTATCATTATTATTATCATTATTATTATTATTATCATTATTATTATTATTATTATCATTATTATTATTATCATTATTATTATTATTATCATTATTATTATTATTATTAGTATTAATTTAAGATTAATTATAATTAGAGGAGGGTCGGATTTTAAAATTATTGTTAATCAGGATATTAAGTTTATTTTGTGGTTAATTATTAGTTATTGAATTATTATTATTATTATTATTATTATTGGTATTAAACTAAAGACTAATTATACTAATATTAACATTTCATATTAATATTAGAGAATAATCAGGCTTTTAATTAATAATTAAGGGAGGGGCGTATTTTTATTATTATATTTGATAAGAATATTTTAACTTAAGTTTGATATTAAAAAGTTTTTGGGTTAATTATCTCTTTGGGTATTTATTAGCATTATTATGATTATTACTATTAAAGTTACAAATTATTTGGTCAAAGTTGTTGACTAAAGAAAGTCCCAAAATTATTTGGTCAAGGTTACAAATTATTTGTTAAAAGTTTTGGTCAATTATATTTGATTATTATTTATTAAAATTACTGATTTAATATTTAATATTAGAAACCCTAGCTTTGCGCAGAAAGGAGGGGAGTCAGATCAAAACCAAAATCAAAGTTGTCAGAAATAAAAATTTCACTCAGATTGAGATACGTTACAATTGGAAAACCTAGATCTAAAAAATCATCAATAAAATTAATTTACAACCAAATCAAATAATCAGAATTTACACCAAATCACAATTTGATCAAAATTTTCTAAAAAAAACAATCTAACCAAATTTAATTCTAAGATCTAATTTCTAACCCTATATAAACTAAAGAGATTTCAGATGAAGAAAGGTGAGAGCATGGAAGGTGGTCATCACGATCGGAGGCCATTGAGGGTGACCGAAGGTTAAAAAAACTAGAGAGAGGTGAGAGCATGGTGTTGCACCCCAAAATTTTCCATCGCTTTTTCTAACTTTTCAGGCTTTCGCTTCACGTTCATTTGCATCTCCATTAGGTCATAGTTCATAATCATACTTTGCATTGATCTTCTAAGTCATGGAATCTAAGGGTTTTCTTGTTATCGGTGTTTCCTATATTCAGAGAGGTGCGTCAGGAGGGTTCATCAGAAACATCGGGTCAGGATTTCATTAGTGTGAATCAAGATTTAACTCCTTCTCAGATCAAGTCATTTCATCATTAGAGTATTTCAAGGAGGATCAGGGTTTCTCATTCAAGGTTGAGTTGTGGACTATCTTTAGTTGAAGATCAGGGGATTATAGTGTCACGTTAAGGGGATCTGTGACCGTCAGGACAAAGCATTTTGTGGTTTGATTTGAAGGGCATTATGTCGTGATCGTTTGAGCTTACTATTTCAATTTTTGGGATTTATTGAGGATGTGATTTTGGTGTGGATTGGGAATTTGACTGAAATTAGACAGGTCAAGACCAGTCATGTGAGTTATGGGGAATTCAAAACACGAGTTCATAAAACCGTAACTATATCCATGTTCTTTTTTTTTATCCATCTTGTATATATCCCTTTATAAAATCTAGGTTTTAACCATTTTCGAGTTCAATGTCTACATTTGAATCCATTCATGTCATATTCATTTTTGTGAACCACTTCCAAAACCATAATCCATATTTATATACAACTCATCATAAATAACCATTTTCCATCACCATATCACTTTTTAGTCCAAATTCAGAAAACCATTTTAGTTTTTAATTTTTAAAACTTAAAACCATCATCAAATCATAAATCCATCTTCTAGACAAATTCTTGTCAATATCCTTTTTTGTTTAGAATTTATATTCATTTTAATACACCCCACAAAACATGTATCTAACAACAACCAAAGTCAGAGGTGTGGACCTCCCCACCCTTTCGCGCACGTTAGCCCTTACCTCCTCATCCACCCACGTCACTTTCCCTGCCACCCCACACCAATTCAACACCCAAACCGTACAACAACGGCTACTTTGCCAATTTGTACAAGTCTGTCTCAATTCTACCCCACCAAGTCTACAACCACACCAAATTCTGCACACAAAAACTCCATATCATGTCGTAATGTCGGCACCACAAAAACCACAATATGAAATCAAGCTAGCTCACAAACCGTACAAAAAACAAACTTTTTTCATCTCTCTTCAACATTATGCAATAGCCACCTCTTGGACCCACTTCATCCTGGCCCACGCCACAAACGGATCACTAAAATGCAACTTGTATCGCTAGCCACAATCCCTGCAAAACCGAGACTTATCCACAAGAGCATAACACGACAAAACTACGAATGCCACCTGCAGAATTTTCCAACAAGGCCAACATTGCCAAACCATCACAAAACTGTTTCGCATCAATAAACATTTCCCACGATTCATATAGTACACATCAATTTTGTTGTACGAAAAAATATGTTCCACAATTCCTCTGCTATAAATGGAACCCTTCTCTTTCAAAAATTTTTTTTTGGGAATTCAAGAGAGCCAAGTAATTGCTGCCGAAATTCCCGTCCTTTTCTCAACTTTCACCTCGAACCGAAACCTTTATCTTCATCCTCTCCCTCAATCACAAACTAAATCGAAACACCTTCGATAAGCCTCAGTGGTCTACACCATCATCAACCCAAATATTTCTTCAAATCAAACCTTCATAAACCAATTTCATTTAAACTTCAAACCCTCAAAATAATTCACAACAACAGAGAAGGAGAAGAAGATTCAGAAAAAAAGCAGAGAAATTGGAGTCGCAACTACATACCGGGTCAAAATCTGAATTGAGGTTCGCGGCGCAATGAGTGGAGAGGTAGGATATCATTGAGAAGATGAGAGTGAGCCGTTGGAGGTGTTGACGCAAATAGATTTGGAATTGGAGAGAGGAGAATATTGGCGTTGCGATGGAGAATTTGTGAAGTAGAGAGGAAAGTGAATAAATCAGAGATAATGGCTCTGTGAAGGAGAACACCGCGCTACTGGAAGTGAGGGCACGGCTGAGTTTTGGTTTCTTGTTTTTGTTAAGATTCATGATAACTAGGATTGGGCCTTCAAGCCCCATCCTAGAGTTAGATTTAGAAATTAATCTTGACCTAATTAGACTTTAACTTTAATGTTAACTTAGGACTAATTTTTAATTAGATTTAAGTTTTGTTAGATTTTAACTTTGAATTATTTTAATTTAGAATTAGAATTAGATTTTAGAAATTAATCTTGACCTTTAACATTAACCTTGATTTTAATTCTTGATTTCGATTCTAGTTTCTATTAATTCTCGAGTGTGTTTGTGAGTACTTTTCTTTATTGACACTTGTATATATTTGCTTTGTTCTTGGATATTAATTTGAGTTTCAATACTTGATGTTGTTTATGATTGTGATGCTTCGTGTTTACTTGTTGATTACCCCTGTATTCACATGATCCCTTAGGATTCCTAGCTCAACTTAATTTCCGATTAAGCCTGAGGTAGGAGAGACATTAAGCTTTCAATCCAAGCATGACAACATTAGGTTAGCTTCCCTCCTAATCCTGACCTTAGGGTCACATTGTACGATAACAGTTAGGGTCCAGTTTCCCCTTAGACCTTATGTGCGTCTTTCTCTTCTTTCTCAAAACGATAATCAAAACACTTAATAACCATGATGAGTATTGTGTGTCACGTGCCTTAAGTAACTGGGAAATGATGAGTGGGGAGTTTCTCCTCGCTTGTCTAGAGTGTTTAGCGTATGCCCCATGGGCGATATGCGATGCATTCGCTCTCATGTCATAGACTTTAGTGCAGTACGCATCTAAAAAAAGGGTCAATTCACTTCTGTTAAGGCGTTTCAGGCCTAGGATCTTTTCTCTCGCCCCGGTGCAATCGAGATCCTGTTTTCCTGTAGTAGCTCGAACTACAGACGCTCTGATTCCTTACTCCCTAATGAGGATACATAGGCACGGGGATTCTTATCCTTGACGAGCACGCTAACAACTAACTTCCCTTTTCTCTTGCCCCAGTGTAATCTGTAACGCCCCGATTCTAATTTTCCATTTTTGTTGAGTCTTTTATTTTATTTGGGTGATTATTATTTTATTTGTGGAATTGGTGTATTAATATGTTATGTTTGCATATTGTGTTATTTTACCGTTTTGATAGTTTTCAGGGAAATAAGGTTGGAGGGTATTTTAGATATTTCTTAATTAATGTTAAGTTAGATGTTGTGAGAGAAATAGTAATGGATAGAATTAGAATAGAAAGATATAAGAGTGAAAGAGGAGAGAAAAGAAAAAGAAAGAATAAAAAGGAGAGAAAGAAAGAGGAAGAAGAGAAAAGAGAAGAAAAAGAGGAAAAGCTTGGAAATCTTCAAAACAACTTCTAGGAATCGATTTAATCGGGTAAGGGTGGGAAATCTTATTATCTCATCAATGTATATCATTATGTATGTGTTTGTTTGGATTGTTTTGGTTGTTTTCCACATATTTCCATTTTAGGTCGAATTGGTTAAATCAATAGAAACCGATGTTTTCACGGTTAGAATTCGAAATAAATTGCGTAGTTTAGTCGAGGAATGTTAGGCCGAGACTATTGGAACTTGTTTGACTGAAATCGGGTGATTTCGTGACTTTTCACATTTTTGGATAATTGAGGGTTTGAGTAGCGAAGTATTCGCTAGGGGAATCACTGGAGAGTGAGGTAGTGTAACACCCCCTTCTATACCCCAAATAAATGCATATAAAACAATTAAGCACATATAAGTTATCAGAGTAAAAAGGTTTTATAATCAGGTATAAAAGAAGAATGCCACAATTTCACCAATAAAACACTTTCACAATTTGCTCCATAA